ACAAACCTGTCTTACCTTTCCACCTCCCTGTATGGTTCCAGGCTTCTTCTGTCATGGTGGCCATACCCCAGGAGGGTGTCTTCTGGTTCTGGGAGCCATAAGAATGGACCACTGTTCTGGACCTGTATAGCACCCTGCAGCTAACTACACATATTGCCCTGCTGAGATTAGCGCCCAAGCAGGATCTGGTGCCCAAAGAAACATTACAGGCCATCTCCACTGCAAGGAATTTATGTACAGTTTCCAAGGTTTTACTGAGCTTGCACAGATCCAGACGTACTGCTTCCATTATAGCAGAAAGCACTGAAGAGGTTGGATGAAGAATTCAAAGCAAATACAAACTAGTTAAGCATAGAAACTTCTCCATAGAGGATAAGTGGACAATCACCAAGAGGACTCTATAAAAAAACTGAGGTCTCATGGAATGGGGTAGGGTTACAGGGGTATGCCCAAAGGGAGGGTTTCCAACAGTTTTGCCAGCGTTCAATCACCTGAAGGTAGCAGCCTATAACCCAGAGTTTATGAATATCTAGCCTGTTTCCTGTATTATATAAGATATATTTTCACACAGGGGCGGACTGACCATTTGGAAACTGGGGCACTGCCCGAGGTCCCGGGGTCAGTAGGGGGCCCCATGAGATGCCCCTGGTACCTTTTTCATAGCTTTTTGAGTTTGGGCAAGGACAAAGGGGCCCCATGATCCCCTATTGCCCGGGGGCCCCATGAGTTGTCAGTCTGCCCCTGTTTTCACCTTTTTATGTATCTTAACTTTAGCCACTTCATGTATGCAACCCCAGCATCAGCTGCATATCATTCTTTAGAACTAGGGATGAGCTTGGGATTGGTCCAAATTCATGCTTGGCCAAACCCAGAAGGAAGCTGTTTGTCCTGGCAAATAATCAGCTGCAGGCTGCCCTGCAGCTGCATTGACACAAAGGGGCCGGATGCTCCTGACATAATTGAATATGATCATATTAGGTTATTGATATCAGGAGCAAGCCACCGCTTTGTGTACGTGCAGATACAGGGCAAGCAGGGAATGCCACAACCGCACCGGATTGGGTTGGCACTGACAGCTTTCTTTTAGCATCAGGCAAAAATGAGTTCAGACTGAACCCAAGCTCATCCCTCCTACTCAGGACTAAGTTGCTAATAGTGTCAACAGTGAACCATGCCTGGGAAATGTTTGTTAGTACAGCATTTTGTAGTCATCAGCAAGGGCACATCGGACAGAGTGACAGAGGCAAAATTGGGGGATCGATGTCACCCGAGAATGTGAAATACCTAAAAAAAAGGACCAGGTATCATTTTAACAAAAGCTGCATAGTTAGAAAGATAAACAACATTTGTTATTACATTAATGTTAAAACTTATATGAGACTTTAGTGATTTGGTTTAATTTCTGAAGCCTAGAACAAGGTTGATTACAAAATGCCTTCTTTTTTTCCAAAATTGAGGAATGAATTTGACTTTAGAGTTATCAGCAGGAATGCAATTTATACATGGTTGCAGAGTGTAGACAGCCAGGCTGGGGTCTCCGCATTTCCTGTTTTCTATTAATAATTCCAAAGAGAGGCCTCAAACAAAGAGAGGAAAAGGGTGTGACATGAAAGATCAACATGTATGTTAGAAGGCAAAGTAGCAATTTAAAAAGAGACATTTTTTAAAAAGGCAAAAACCATCATTCTGTATGTAAATGTGGTTACCCTGCTTAATCCCTTCTCGGGGGCACTGCAAAGGAGAGTGGCAGGCTAACATTTCATATTGTGTGTCTGCGTTTTTTAATAGCATACATTTACTGTCAGTCATTAAAATGTATAAACCAGCAACACAAACTATGATTTCATCAAAACGTAGTCACTTATAAATTCCCAAATATATATTTATTTAAATGTGTGTAAAGTGTGTGCAGAAATTAAGCTTTTATACACATGTTTTATCTACAGAGAATAATTAACAGGTAACAAAGTTGAACTCTGCTTTTTACATACATAAAGAGCCAGATTTATAAAACCTGGAGGAAAGGAAAGTGTCTGTGTTGCCATAGCAACCAGTCATGTTCTGCTTCTCTTTGCTGTGGGAAACAGATGCTTTTCTTTCTTCCTTTTTTTTTTTTCTTTACAAAGGAGACGTTTCCATTCTGATTATAATGGCTGAACAAATCCAGGCCCAAAGCCTGGGTCATGTCCCTTTTGGTCTATTTTAGTGTTTCCTGCTTATTACCATAATGCACTCCCCATTACAGCAAATATTTACTGTGTACCTTTGGTATATGGCAGTTTATCTTAGGATTCCCATAAAGTGTGTGGATAATATTTTAGTTCTGGGCTTCAGGGTCCATTGGTGGCAAACAAATAGGCAATGGGTGTGATACTGTGTGCCTGAGTGGCTGGGAATACTTGACCGTAAAAGAAAACTGATGACATCACAACTATTTAAAAAGGTAAGTTTAAGCTAAAAGATGTGAGAAAAAAACGCTCAATTTTGTTGTGGTTGGGGAATTGAAGTTAAGGGCAAATTTTCAGAGCATCCAAGACTTCCACTTTAATGCCTAAGACACTTTATCCTTACACTAATCTACCCCTGGACTCAGCCCTTACCTAACTAACCATTTATTGTGCCATATTCACACCTCCTGCGCTGGGAGTTTTTGCATGTACAAACCGCTACAGTGCATTCAATAACCCTGACCTCTTACTATTCATCAGTGCTTCACAGTAGCAAACAATAGTAGCCTTGCCCCTGTAAGAAATATATGTATTACATACTGAGGTCCACTGGTAAAGAATTTGTGTTTCATTTTTTTGGTTTACTCAGTGCTTGCAGAGTGATCAACCAAAGGTGCATGGCTCACTGGATCATAAAAGACTGGCAATTGATATAAGAGGGTAGTTAAATATTCAAGTATGATCTGAAGCTTTCCAAGCACTGACAAAACTTGCACGAGGAGAGTGGTACAGGCGGAGGCTGATATGTGCCTGCTACCATAGATGTGAGTTTGTTGCTCAGTCCAGTCATATGGTTGACTGTCCTCTCATATTTATTGCCTACTTAGAAGAGCTCCATGCCAGGTAAAGTGATTTAATGATTGATAGCACCTGTATTGAAAAGGCATGTAGTGCTCACTGACTGATCACCCATCAGGCACAAAATACCTACAAAAAATTGTAAATCACAGGGATGACATGACCCGGTTCTGGCACCTGGATTTTTACAGCCCTAGCCACCATAGACCGCATAATGCTATCTTTTCAGGTACCTGCAGAATCTTGGCACAAAGTAAGACTTATAGGACATTATTTACGATTTATCTATTCCTTGTGAAATGCAGCATAAGAGTTTGTCAGATCTCTGAAATCACACAAATACTAAATCTGCAAGTCCAATGCCATATATCTGCCTAGACTGTATCATATCATGTAGCTCTAAGGGTCAGTTCACACTACCGACAGAAAATAATGTTCCCTTTTCTCTTGGGGGGAGTGATAACAGCTTCCAGCAAAGAGGGGGGGGGGGCAGCAGTGCCTTGTGGGTTTTTTTTTACAACTTTTTCTCCTTTTTTTCTAAACTTTAATAAAATGTCATAAAGTGACATTGCATTCATTTCTATACATGGCAGCTCAGCTGCCATGCATACAAACAGGGTAGCACAGAGACCTGCGGGGCAGTGTGCAAAAATGCAGACGTTATATTTTTCTGCATCGTTCTGCCCCACAGCTGGAAGCAATTGTGAACAGGGCACACAGAAAAACGTTGTTTTCTGTGTGCCCTTGTGGATAGCTGCATCTTCCTTATGCAGAAAAATGCAGCTCGCTTCACAAGTGTGAACCGGCCCTAACTGGCCAACTGTAGGTTTATCTTCTCAATACCACATTTCCTTCATTGTTCTTAAAAATATAGGAGCAGAGATAAGGCTGTCAGTCATTTTCATGGATTTAAAGAAGCCTTCCTGTCAATGACATTCTTATCTATTTGTCTGGCAATGCATAAAGACAAGAACATATCTCACCAATAAGAACAGACAGTGAGACATCTGCCAATTCTTTTCCCCATCACTGTAGTGCTGGGATTCACATTTATCACAACTATACATAAATATCTTCTCAATTCGCCCACAGGGGATGCCTGGTCACTTATGATAGTCAGGAGCACTCATTATCACCCCCTTAAGAATTCCATACATGGTCTGATTTCAGGCATTGCTTGCAAAGACTAGTCCATGTATGATCACCCTATACTTTTAGGCATCTCCCCTGCAGGCCAGAGACAACCAATTACACCAAACCAGACCATTTTCAGTGTCACTGATGGCATGTCATGGCTATTATTGAAAATAACACAGGTACATTTTGTTGCACAGTGGGAGATGAGGACTGTTGTGATAAAAGACGTATTCAAATGCATAGCTGCCATATAGCAGCAAATGTGGAAATATGATGAACAATTAAAAAACACACACCTCAGATACATCAGAACTATAATCTGAGACTATAAAATGTATGTAGAGAGATTATGTAACTATTTTATCTGTAAATATACAGAGATCAGTGCATGAGATCAGACACTGAACTATCGCCCACCTGTATGCATACAGAGACATTGTACAATGGCTTGCCTGTATACATACAGAGGTGACTGACTGTGAGAAGAGATTGTACTGTCTTTCCTATGTATACCTACAGAGATCATTGACAAGGTAGAATGTGTACTATCTATTATCTGTATATATACAGCGACCAAGAGCAGAAATTGTACTAGCTCACAGCCGTGTACATATAAAGTATTTGTTCATCAGCTTATTTACAGAAAAGAATACATGGCTTCAGGTTTTTGTGTGTACAATATATACACGAAAAAAGAGTGTATGGGTAAAAAGACCAAGCTGTTATTCCCAGATTCCCCCCGCCCTTTCAATGGCCTTATGAATCCCAATTTGGAGGCCAAAAGTCTTTGTCATTCACAGCCATATACATTCAAGAAAATGGTATGCCAAACCCCTTTCAGTCATCAGGGGAACAAACAACATGCAGTTGGTCTGGACTCCCGACACTGCCTGTACTGGAGCTCCCGTCGCCTAAGTCTCGTGGTCCACAGGGTAAAAGACTAAGCTCTGATGAAGCCACGGGGCTAGCATGGTGCCTTATGGAGGCCCCATCTTCTTCTAGAGCCAGAAAAACTTCAGACAGACATGTGTTTTCCCTCACAAGCTCATCCTGCCGCCTCTCCAGTTCAGCCAGTTTTTTAAGGTACCCACCCAAGTCTTCCCTTAAGACTTTAGCTGCATGGTAGCCAAATAGTTGCCACTCACTAGCTAGTTTCTTGCTTTTTAATCTGTCATCATCCAAGAAGCAGCAGAGGTCTTTCAGCTCTCTATTCTCTTCCTGAAGACGATGGTTAACTTGTTTCAACTCACGAATCTCTGTCAAGTGGCCTTGCAGCTGGCGGTTGACCTCTTTTATAAGACGACCCCTTTGAATAAGAGCTGCCATTTTTTTCTGCTTCCTCTTCTCTTAGCTTCCTGACAAGTTCCTCTTTGCTGTGAGACAGCATTTCTTCATCAGTCATCTTGGAGAGGTCTCGACCCAGTAGACCACATTCCTCATTCATTGTGTATATCCTCTGTGCCAGCTGCCGTGAACAAAATCTACAATTTCGGTTTTGGCCTCTTAAAAGCGGTATAAAATATTTTCGACCAAATGAGAGCAAGTAAATAGAAAAGTCATAAAAGGTTTCTAGCCTAATAAAGCTAAGCCCAGAAGTCCTTTTACTGTCTGACAAGTTGATGAGATAAAATATGAGATTATACTCCTTCACAGACCAAGAATTGGCCTGACTTGCTTTGATCTTGCTAGGTGTCTATTACCTTATCTTTTTGTTCATGTTCCTCATTTTTACAGAACTGTATCCAGAAAGCTTGAAAATATCTGGATAAAAGAATAAAATGCATTAATCAAGTACATGTGTGAGTTTACAAATTCATTTTAATGAAGCTAATTGAAATAGAGCACATTAACATTGAGGTGCAAATCTGCATACTTATCGGAGATAGAAAAGCTTTTTGCCTGGTAAAGCTAAGCTACGCAGCTATAGAAGGGCCACTTCATCAACCATTGTGGTAAACATTTAAATGTCACTTGTGATTATTTTTTAACAGTTTAAATAAGTCCACTCAAAAGATTTCATTCAGCTGAGTTGAGAACTCTATTGGGGCTGATCACCCACTGGCTTGTCCAAAGACTGCATTACCCTGTACCCAATCCTTCCATGTCCAGCCATGGCAAAATCGCAAAAAACATAAACACACTCCAGAGCGCACTGGCCTTGTGAAGCATGTAAAGCTACTTTAATATAAAAGTGGCCTAAAACACTCACAATTTAATACTGAAAAAGACCTATCTGTCACAAAATTCCAAAGTCCAATCTACACAATGACAGAGTTTCTACAAGCATTAGGACTTCAGAACTTCAACCAGCATAAGCACCCTACATTTTTGGGGATTGCCCCCTGCATCAGAATCCCTGCTTTTCGAAACCCCCCCACTAAACTCCTGTAGGAGAAAAAAAAACTTCTTTAAACTTACAGTATGCATGAAGCCTAAAGGGTGAATGCCCCATAAATGTAGCAATCTGGAGCACTCATCACAGTCATGGTAATTGTGCTGATTGATTGATGCTTCATATGTATGTATACATTTCCTTTGTATTTATTGTTTATAGCTAATTCCCAATCTAGTCCATGAGCAGCAGATGGTAGTGAAGCTCTGCGATTAACATTCAAGTACCTTTTTTGGAGTCTTTTGGTGACATCCTCCATGCATATGGTGTCCTGAGCAGTGGTTGTATCATTTTGATAAAGTTTTCAAATTGCATACCATAATCTTACTCTGCATACAATTATACACAGGCTAAAGCACAAGCCTGGCAGCACCACTGCCTGGTATAAACCAAGCAAGGTAGGTATCTTGTAAGACATATTCGCATCAGGGGTACAGAGTTCTGATCTTGCAGTAGGGTAGATTTCATAGCTGGTATTCTGAAGACTAAATAATTGAACCTATTAACAACTACTCAAAACTCAATAATCTGTTTTGGGTAGACTTAATATAGAATATCCGTTTATTTTCTATCAACAAAATAAGTAGAATTGGTTAAAGCAACCCTGCAATGGGGAAAAGGTACTAAGCTAAAATAACTGATAGATAACAGACACAGTAAAATTTAATATCTTAATGTTCTTGTCTCAATATTCTATATGACTTCAGAAATATCCCACGTTCCAGGTATGTTCCAAGCACATAACTAGGCACACACTTAACTCTTTGATCGCCCTTGATGTTAATCCCTTCCCAACCAGTGTTATTAGTACAGTGATTAGTGTATATTTTTAGCACTGATCACTGTATTAGCATCACTGGTTCCCACAAAGTGTCAGTTAGTGTAAAAATGTCTGCCGCAATATTGCTATCTTGCTATAAGCCGCTGATTGCTGCCATTACTAGTATAAAAAATACATTTTAAAAATTCCAGTATATGTACCATAATTTGTAGACACTATAACTTTTGCGCAAACTAATCAATACACAATTATTGGGATTTTTTTTACTAAAAATATGTAGCAGAATACATTTTAGCCTAAATTTATGAAGAAATTAGATTTTTAAAATGTTTTTATTGGATATGTTTTATAAAAAATATTGGTTTTTTTTTCAAAATTATCAGTCTTTTTTGTTTATAGCGCAAAGAGTTGTCAAATACCACCAAAAGAAAGCACTATTTGTGGGAAAAAAGACCTAAATTTCATTTACGTACACTGTTGCATGACTACGCAATTGTCAGTTAAAGTATCGCAAAAAATGGCCTGGTCAGGAAGGGGGGTAAATCCTCTGGAGGGCAAGTGGTTAACCACTTCAAGTCCAGACACTTTCTCCCCCTTCCTGTCCAGGCCAACTTTCAGCACTATCACAGTTTGAATGACAATTGCGCAGTCATGCAACACTGTACCCATATTAATTTTTTTGAGACAGATAAAACTTTATTTTGGTGGTATTTATTCACCTCTGGGATTTTTTTTTTCTGCTATATAAATGAAAGTCCAAACATTTTGAAAAAAGAAGTGTTTTTCTTATAAAATTTTGCAAATAAATAATCTCTCTTCATAAATCTTGGCCAAAATGTATTCATCTATCTTTTTAGTAAAAAAAAAAAATAACCCAAATTAGTTTATAACCAAATTTTTCCAAAAATGTTTTGGCATTTTTATTTTTTATATTATTATTTATGTTTTTTTTTTTTTTTTTTTAACATACTGTCACCCTAGCAGTACAGTATCACCATAGTGGCACTGTACTACTTGTGGGGGGGTGATGAAGATTTTTTTTTTTTTTTGCACTGATTGCTTTTACACCCATAAAGGCTGTAAAAGCAATCATTTCTCCTTCTCTCTGGCTGCATTCTTGCAGCCATTGAGAAATACTGTGCGTGCTGTGATTATTCACAGCTTGTCACATAGTACAAGGCTATTGTGAATATCCTTGTATCATGTGCCCTCTGTGATCATTCACAGATTTCACTAGTAGTAAGCAATGATGTCAATAGTGACATCTTGCTTACTACTATTTATGTGATCACTGATTGGCCAATCAGTGATCACATGATCGGGACCTCACACAGAAGTCCCATACAGCGATCAGTGTCCAGAGGACACAGCGGGCACCAGATCGTGGTGCCGAGCGCTCCCAGGGAGTGAGCACAGGCAGGGAGTGGGGAGGACGTTTATAAATGGCCACCCGCTCCTGCAATGCTCCCGTCCAGACGTTTATATACATGGGCCAGACGGGAAGTGGTTAAAGAACTATACTCACCTTGGATCCAGCAATGAAGCATCCTAGAGCTCCCTGCCCAGTTGGTGACATCTTTGGGCAGCCGGCTTCCAGGTCATGATTGCTGGCCACTTTTATTGGCCAGGTGGAGATGACTTCACTCCTGCGCATGCACGGGAGTTCAGTCAGGTTTGGCATTGCCAAAGTTGCACAGTGAACTTCACCTATGTGGCTCACTGTACAGGGGCAGACAGGCAGGTAGGTAACTCAAATGCATTACATACGTCGTGAAGCCTGACTGGCAAAAAACTCCCAGAACATTGCTAAGTGAGGCCTAGTCATTACTGCTCGGCTCCACCGCCACAGGAGTGAGCTCTCAAACACTGAGCTCAGGGCTACTGCATCAGGAGAGAGGAGGAGAATGTGAGGGGGTTTGAATCAGAGAAGAGCTCACTCCTGTGATGGTGGAGGTAGGCAATAATGACTAGGCCTCACTTAGCAATATCCTGGGGGTATTCCAGTCAGCGCATTCGGAAGGTACGCATGTAAATGGCCTACACCTATTAAAAGGACATTATTCAACTTTAGTCAGAGCTGCATAGTTTGTTTTTATCTGCAGACACCCCTTATCTGCATAGGCAGTTTTTTTTTGTACAGGTGAACTAACCCTTTAATAGATAACTGCACTATGAAGAAACACCACCCAGTATCAAGCCTTGAGCCACTTTGAAATAATTAAAAAAATAAAAAAAAACATTTATTTAACCTCAGCCAGCGGTTCATTGTGATACAAGGCCTGCAGTCTTGAAAGCCTCAATGGCAGCTGCATGTCTATGAGACAGCCTGAGGCCAGTTTTTGCAGCTATACCTTGGTGCTGTAATAGGAGAAGCATAGTAAAGGACTGTCAGCTTTGGGCAGTCCATGGACTACAATGGAACAATTTTATATGTAACTTACTGCTTATCTAATGTTTACAAGACAGGCCAAGGCTTCCTACCTCTGGTGCTGTGCTTCTTTCTAAGTGCCAGTACACTGTCATGGGAACGTGAAAGCGCAGAGCCCACGTCCTATTGTTTTCACTATATATCTAAAATAAATGGCCGCTTTGCTGGTCTATCTAAATCACTGGTGTCAAACTGGCGGTCCTCCAGCTGTTGCAGAACTACAAGTCCCATCATGCCTCTGCCTCTGGGAGTCATGCTTGTAACTGCCAGTCTTGCAATGCCTCATGGGACTTGTAGTTCCACAACAGCTGGAATACCGCCAGTTTGACACCCCTGATCTAAATCTACTACTATAGCTTTGATGACAACAAATATTGAACAGAAAATATTCCAACAGTTAGGTATTTTTTTTAAAGTCACTTCGGTGTTGAAATAACCTTGTTTATGGTATTTGTTATGTTAGGCAGACATGCAAATATCAGGCCTAGACTTGCAGAAAGGTCAGGGCCTTCACAGAAACATTTTTACAAGGTAACGGGCTGATTATCTTTCACCTTCTCACCACTTTTTAGGCAACATTCACCCATTAGCTGTGAGTCTCTGGTAGTTTTAGGCTCCATGCACACTGAGCTTAAAAAATGGCCAGTTCCCTTAGCAGAAAAAAACACTGATTTAGGTTCCATACACACTGGCGTTTTTATTTAAGCTCTTAAAAGCTATTATTAGCAATTTCTAGAAGCTAAATAGTGTTATCCTATGTGTCCATGCACAATACGTTAGGCTATTAGCATTTTTTGAGCTTCAGCTTTTAACAGCAGAAAAAAAATATTTTTTTGTAGAGTT